TCGATGTAGAGTAGAGAACAACGCAATTGATAAACCGTTCTTCGTCGTGTTATTATAAGTGCAAATCAGCAAGCAAATGGGTGTGTCATTTTCTCAGAAAAAAAATTTTGATATTTATTTCATGTTTGACATATATATTTATTATTCAAAACAAAAATTGGAAGACAACTTGTATTGAATTAATTATGAAACTATTTTATTTTCACGTTCATTGTGATAGATGTAAGATATATCCTTGTTACAACACATAGTGTACCTCTGGATGCTAAAGACAATGAGAGAACAATGTTTGAAATTTAGAAAATCAAATAGAAACTTACTCGATCACAGGGTTCTTTGATAGCTGCCTCACATTGATACTTCCCTGGTGATAAATTTCTTCGTCGATGATTTTCTCTAACTAAGCAAGTGCGTAAAATAATAGTAAAGGTCAAACTCATAATTATCATTACAATGCAGATCACGTGGCCGCGTCGATAAACTGGCCCATCAACTTCTCTATAAATCTATGAACAAAACAATTTTTATGAAGACTCTTTTTTAAGTCATTGATATGTGACAAAGCGACTTAAGAGATTCCTATAACTTATCACACGTAGCAGTCTTACCAGAGGCGTGAGAATGCCACCAATGTGAGCGATGCCGCTGACGAAACTGATTGCTATTGGTCGCTTTGTATGACCAACGACGTTTTTTGTTAGCCAAGAGAGTAGTAAAGGAAATGCTGAAAGTATACCACAAAGTGTAATACTAGTGCTGACATAGATTGCCGCTTTGCCTTTATCGAACAAAGTAAGCATTAGGAAGAATCCAAATAAACCGACAGATAGACAAAACACGATAGGATAGCCATGTTCATTTCGACGTGACGCTGCGTAGTTAGATAGCAAACAGCAAATACATGCGATAACATAAGGTGGTGCTGTCAGTAAGTATACTTCATTTGTAGAAGAAAACGTACTTTCCATGAGTATCGGAAAAAATGATGTCAGATATAGAATTACGGATAAATTCCCAACAGCGATCAGGGCATATAAATAGATTCGCCAATCAACAAAAACGTAACGAACCTGTCGCCATGAAATTTGTGCCATTGGTGTAAGATTACGCTCGTGTACACTGGCATCATTTAGGAGAAGATTTGTCAATAGCTGCTTATCCATATTATTTAACCCTAAATGTTCGAAAATAACCTTGAATATGTTCAATTTTCCTTTAAACTCTTACATTGGACAGCATTGGGTATATTGTCAAGGAAAAGATACGTAATAATCCCAAGCGGAATGAGCGGTAAACCTTCGAGCAAAAACATCCATTGCCAGCTTTTCAGGCCACGGATGCCTTTCATTTTTTCCATACTATAAGCCTAGATTAATGACAATAGTAGGTTCTATAAATTCAAAATAGATACTCTTTGATGACATCGGCGAGTACATACCAAAACACCTGCAGGAACATAGGAAGCAATTACTGCACCATAGAGAATAGCTATTCTCATAGTTTGGTCTCTTTTACAATACCAACGAGAGAAATAAATGATGATACCAGGAAAATAACCCGCCTCGACCATTCCCTTCAATGACAATTTGCAAAAATTTTATGCTCAGTAAAGGTCGCTAAATCAACTTACAAGGAAAAAGCGGACAATGAGTAGTTGTCGACCATTAGTTACAAAAGCCATACCAATCATGATGCTGCCCCATGCAAGCATACTTAATGCTAGATAAAGCGTTGCACCGGTAAAACGAAGAAGAAAATTACTTGGAATGTCGAAGAAAAACTAGAGCAGAAAGTCACCTTGGAAAATATTGAAATCTATACCGTTATTTTTTTACATGGGAAATATAAAATACTGAAACAACCCAACTACTCTCTATATCTGGTATATTCAGATCAGTTTGAATACCCATCAGTTTAGCATGACCTAGAAGAATATCATTGATAATGAATGATTCAAATCAACAACACATACCGACGCTCACTCGATTGATGAATGAACTAATTTCTAGAAGAACAATCAAAGGAAGCAATCTTCGATCGAGCTTTCGAACTAGTTGACGAATGGCACTGGCATAGAATAGCTGCTCATCGTTCTGATTGATGACAGAAATGTTGTCGATTGCCGTCACATCTGTTATCAACGGTTGTATTCGTCTCAATTCTACAGATGCACTCATAGTCAATGTTGCAGGTTTTCTTTTAATTCAGTGTCACCATCCACTTATTTCAAAAACAATACTTGTTTTTCTTTTTCTTTCTATGAAGAGCTTTTTTCTCTGTTTTACAGAACAGAATTGATTGATGCTTGTAAAAAGTGGAGGAAAAGAAAATGAGCAACGCCAAATATTGAATTAATTATTCTTTTTTTCTAGTTTATTTAATAATAAATTTCGATCGTTCTCGCTCTAAAATGTTCGATGTGCCTGTGGCGGACATAGACCAATCCTTTCAATCCTGATCGCTTTCACACTTATTAATACATTGATGTGAGAGTATATAGTGTGCTTTATAAGTATGAGACTAAAAGAAGAAAATACTGAAGAGAAAATCATTTCTTGGCCACCCGTTATAATGGGTAGATATTTGTAAACGTTTTCTTTTAATCATTTCGGATTCTTTTGTTCCGTGAATTAGTGTAGGATGTCAATAGGACTATCAGGCTTAGACCATTTTCCATAAAACTTTTATCAGAGGTGTAACTAAAAAAAACTAAGATTGCAAGCATCTATCTGAGCTCGATCGATTAACTCCGTGGCCCCCATTTGCATTCCAGAAGACTCACTAATAAGACAACTATTGAAACAGGCTATTGCCCTCTTCGGTAGATCAATAATATAAACAGATCGACTAGATGTACTTCATTGTGTGTACGGTAATTTGGCAACTCCAGTTACTATTGGGGGGAGGAGGAGGAGCGACATGAAAAGATTTTTTTAAATCTTTCGCGAATAGCTTGTTGATTTCACAAAAATACACTACACTTTTTTAATTCAATAATACAAATAAAGAAAAACCAACACATATGAAGGTTGTCCTTTTTCCTCTAGTAGAAATGTGCTTCTGGAATAACTTTCTATACACATAAAATCTTTTTTTCTCGAAGTGATTGAATCATCAAGTAAAGAATATAATTTTTGATTCATTTTTCTTCAACTTCAAATCTCATAAGATTTAAAAGAATTGGAGTACGGGTGTGGGTATGGTTTGGGTCTCTTCTTGTTCGACACCGACACTCATACCCATCTACAACTACATCAAACATTTATATAACAACAAATGATGCTCATATTTATAAATAACAGCAATTTGCTTACTCATCTATGCGTAGATATCAACAAGTTTTGTGTTTAGACGAGAATTTTTAAATCTTTTTTTTTTATGCCAGTAACCCCAATGGCAACTCCAGTTGTCATTTCATGTCGTACAATCTCTTGTTCAACTAATTCATATGAAAATTCTTAAACGCATTTGATCCAATAGCAGCAACTTCCGTCAATATTTATCGCGTAGCACATCATCAAGATAGGTATTTTCGTATATCTTAGAGACAGAGTAAGGATAAAAAATATTTTTTTGCCAATCATTGGCTTAGGGAATTCTCTACACATAGTGTATAAAGAGTTTTTTGATACCACGCGTCCTGCATTTCTTGCAATGTTTCTGAAAATGGCGACTTCAGTTGCCGAGAGGGGAGAGGTGTAAAGAGTTAAGATTCAAGTCATTCTCTATTATTTGAGTAGATCTTAATGTGCTCTATCTTATAGTGAGATTCATTATTCGTGAGTTGGCAAATAACATTTACCTATGTAGTGTCTTTAACGTATAAACAACCTTGTTGTTACTACTTTACTTATGGCAAATCTTTGGAATCGATCATTTGCAAAGATACAAATTAAGTTAGAATGGTTTTCATTCGACTGACAGAAACCAAAGCGACAATGTGATTTTTTTTTATTTGACAAATGAGAGTTAGTTGATTTATTTATCTTGTTGGTTAAATATTATATGAACTCATCTATAACTACAAAAGCAAAATAATCTTGCCTTGATGCTTAAACTGGCATCCGTAGAAAAATCTCTGGCAAGTCCTCAAACATGTGAAACACCTTTTGAACTCCTAAAAAAATCAAAGCTTACTGATATTTATAAAGAATTGCAATGATACATTCATTGTTTTATTTCCTATTTGTAGAAGTAAATAAGATAGAAAAGATTTAAAAGACAAACAACTGCTGCCTCTTTTTGTAGATGTATTTCTTGTATAAATGATATCATACATATAGTATCTGAAATTCGAACTAAAGTATTCAATAATCTAGACCTGTATGAAAGTCAATGTGTGATCTTTCTTTTCTACTTATTATTTAGTGAGAATGCAGTAAGAAGTAACTGTCAACTTTTGCAATCACATCAAACAATGCGAGAAAATAACATTTACTTTTCATCATCAAATTACGTAAGTACAAGGAATTCATATTAAGGGGGGAAGGTTTCATCCTTTTGATAAATTCAATTTAATTGATGCTAGAACTTTTCGTCACAAGATGATTCATAACAATATTCTATAGTACAATACATGTATGCATCATCAACTCAAATTTGACCAACGGTTGTCACGAATTGTGCTAACATCACAACTCGTTTCATTGATATACTCGATAAAAATCGATGCCTTGAGGGTTCACCATTCGAAGTTACTGAATAGAACATGTTCCTTTATATTGCTTGTAGCTAGCGCTAAATTTAGTCATACTAGTAACAAAAAAAAACCTACATTTTCATTCTTTAAGAAGCACATTTTCTTAATGAATGATTTGCCTCATCAGTCAGCTATGTAGTGTCATTGAAGTCGTTTTCTTCGTTGACGATTGCTCATGCATGAAATGATGAAAAAGAAAGAACAGCCATCTCGATTATTTTACTCTTGTATCGATATAATAGTATACATTTAACGCATTCTCTCTTCATTTGTGCATAAGCAAACACATCGATATAAATTAATGTCGACATACAAATTGTATTATTTCAACACACGTGGTCGTGCTGAAATTGCTCGCCTCATTTTTGCTGCTGCCGGACAACAATACGATGACATTCGATATGAACGATCTGAATGGCCATCACATAAAGCCGAAATGCCACTAGGTCAAATTCCTGTACTAGAATTCAATGGCGTGAAACTGCCTCAGTCGATAGCCATCGCTCGTTTTCTTGCCAAACAATTTCATCTTGCAGGTAAAGATAATTTGGAAGAAGCTAAAGTCGATGCTGTCGTTGATACTGTGGGTGATCTTGCTATTAAATACATGTCATTTCGTAGAGAAGAAGATACAATAAAAAAACAAGAAGCTCTAAAGCATATGCTCGCAGAAGTACCCAAGCATTTTACCAATCTGGAAACATTGGCCAAAATGTACAATGATGGTGGTTCATTCTTCGTCGGAAATCAGCTAACTTGGGCTGATCTATGTGTGTATGAAATGATTGATATTCTGCTTTCACTCAATGATCATGTTCTTGCCGATTATTCATGGTTGAAACGCAACCGTGAAGAAGTTGAAAAGCAACCGAATATTGCTACTTACGTCAAAAGCCGACCACCATCGAAAAATTGACCCATCTATTCATTCAAAGAACATTAATCTTTCATTATATCATGTTAGCATTTCTAGAACTCGATACTTTAAACTTTCGCTTTTGCTATAAAGTTACGATAAACTAGATATACTAGAGATAAATCATATTTATCACAGAACAATCTTGATAAAAGTTCAAGATCATGTGCATTTTTTTCTACTAAAATCTCGAAATGTCTCAAGAGATATATTATAGAGGTGCCACGTACTTTTAGAATTAGACTGTAGGTCTTCTCATCTATACATATCTAACTTCTTGAACTCAAAATAATCGAATCGAAATTCAATTTAAAATTAAACCAAAAAAAACAATGTTCACTCTATTTTGCTACAATAAAACATTTGAGAAAATGTTAATCTTCTTATCTGCTGATATCATGCAGAGTTTTCGTATTTGGACGTATGAAGCAGCATATCTATCGAAAAAACAGACCGCACTGTTTTGCGAAGAAAAGAAACTTCAATATCAACCTATACATAAAAATACACAAAAAATAATCATTAGCTATGCAAGACCTATTTGATCAATACAATCATTGTGTGTCATTTATATTTGTATAAGTAATTTACATTCAAATGATAAAATAAGTTTTTCTTCTACCAATGTGAATTATGATTGTAATATTACCATCAATATATGGCTGACATATAATATCAATCATTTTATCGAGTATCAAATAATTATTTCAGCCAAGAACAACAAGTTTATGAAACTGAATTAAAAATTGAGCAAGATCAAGCGAGTATTCAATCGTATTCTCCTATTCTATCATCTTTCATATCATTTCTAATTGTTGATATGAGAATGACAACTATGAGAACTAAGATCAAAGTTTGTTACTCATGACAAGTTTTTCTTCACTATTTAGAATCAGGAAACGAAAAGCATATGGAAGTTTGGATGTCAAATAAAATACATAGTTATTGCTTTTGTCAAAATCAATAGCATATGATAAAGTCCTGAAAGTCTAAAAACATACCGCTACAACGTCGTATATAGTATCATAGGTAAGAAATGCCATTAATGTCATTAGCATACATTCATCAAATTCTCATGTTTCGTCTTCGTCGTATCCTTCTTCATGTCCAAATCTGATGGCACTTATCCTTGCGACAGATACTTATTCAAAAAAGATATAAACTTTCAATTGACATATCATAATAATTGTTTTTGTTTTCTCAGGGAAATTAAGTGGCTCTGACAATCAACAAAACATGAAAGCTCGTCACTCTACTTGCCTCAAGTTCAATGATGTACATGGCAGAGGATAGTCGTGTGGACAAAATGAGATCAATGGCACGGGAGTATGTGTGAATGTTGTTGTGGATGAAATATATATCCAAAGTAGTTATAACGCACACATCTACACCTTCGTTGTTGCTATTTCTGCTATACAAAAGAAAGTGTTTGAGACCAAGTATTCTACTTTTGCATCTTTAGCTCTTCATAATTTAGTGTAGTTAAGATTTCCAATTTTGGATTTATTAACGCCTGTAATCTAATTTCTTCTGACGGAGAGGACTTTGGTGCAGCTTAATATAGCAATGATTCGATTTTGACAGTTTAATAAAGAATTCGATTTTCGTAAGAGTGAAGCTTACCACTCATTTAACAAACTTTTGTCCTTATATACCCTGCAATGAATATTCACTTACGATTAATAAGTCTAATTGTGAATTTATAGTGCTGTAAAGATGAGCAATATATTGTCTTGTTTTTCATCCAATTCAGATTTATTTCTCGGTAAAAGATGTCTTTATGTATCATTTTTCGTTATTAGTTTTGCAACAATGGCGAGCAAAATCAAGATGTCTTATACATATTCATCATGGAATGATTTCTCAGCAATTAAGCCCGAGTTTCCCCTACTCATTGAATTAACCGACAAGTCAAAATTGATTGCTGGCATTCGCGATTATCTCATATGTCCCATCATAAATGTTATCATTGCTGGAATTCTACTTGGACTGTTGTTAGTAATTATCTCTATGGCTTATCGTAATCATAAAAAAGCAAAAATAATTTTGACAAAGCTCAGTTTATGAGCATCCTTGTATTAGTCACTCAGCGTTGGAGCATGGTTTGCAGTGATCATGCTGTTGGTTACTACATGAAAAGCATACTCGAGTAGCTATTATTTGCTCAGGATGATGAAATCTTGCACAAGAATGACCTAGCTTTCCAATGAAAATACTTCAGTTTTCTTATTGTTTGCCGTTTACATGATTAAAAGAATAAATTCAAAAACTCTCTATGGTTCTTCAAGATCTTCATTGAAAAATTTTCAATAAGAAGCTCATTTGCCGTTGGGAAGAAGCTTCTAAAAATATTACGTTACAGCACTGTGAATCATTGTAATCAATAAGATAGAGACAGTCTCAATGTCCAAAAACTGATTAAATGATTTCCATATGACTTCTTTGTGAATTAATAGAAAAATTCTAAAATAAAAATATATTCATTCACGATTCATTCGTTAATGTAAGATTCTTTTCAAGTTCAATAAACTGTTCAAAAAATTTATACGGTATATAAACTAATTGGTTTTCGTTTTAATTATTTAAAACTACAACTTCAGTTGAACATGAAGACTTCAACATGTTCATAAGAATATCTTTTATCTTTCTGATTCAACGATGATAATTATTACTCACTAAATATCATACAGATTAGAAACCTATCATAAGTTCGTTTAGTTTTTCAAAACATTATTGTATGTGCTCAGACATAATGATTTATTTGTTCTTACTCTAATTGGACTTTTAATTTTTTCATGCTAAATAAAATATCACTTATCGTTTCTTTGGAATGACTTTTAAATATCAAGATATGAAATAATACAATAGACGTACATTATATATTATAACATTTATTGCATGTCTAATACCATTATTTGTGATTCCGAATTAAAGGCAAGACATTTTCTGAATAAAATCTCATTATCTTGATTTCTATATTCTTTCAATTAGATGACAGCTTAAGAGTATTCTGATACAGCAACATATCAGATTGAGATATCATGAAAGAAAAAATAAGATGCATTCAAAAGCGTTTCAGCGTGAGTCGATTTCTTTTGTTCGGTACTGTATAGATGAATACAATTGAATTTATGTTCGTTCTCTTTTCTGTATCAACAAAAAAAAAGATAAATTATTACATATTATTGATCTCCACACATAACTACTACCTAGAACACGCACTTTTTTCTGATCCATCCTAGAACGAAAATGCTTCGAAGTCATTTATAACAAAAGAGAGGCATTAGGAGAGCGTCTCACTCATCTAAGGATAATATTTACATCGTTTTGAAACAATTGAAATGTAGGAATAGATGTTCGTTAATAACATGACTATGATTTAGTTCAAAAAGACCTATTCAATTTATTTCTTTAAATTTCAAAATAGTTTATGTAAGTAGAGCTAATCATTTATCCAATAATTCAAGGTTTACGTTACTTTTGCATAAGTATTAGTCCATATACTGTTAAATACGAATTACGAAATACATTATATAATATAGTCTTTCGGTTGATCACGATTTTCACAGTCATGTTGATTGCTGTTTAATAAGTTTTAAAAGAAGTTTTGCATGCTATGCAATTATGTTTTACATCAAATTAATATTTCAATAACGATTTTCATCCTGACGTAGTATGTGATTTCTCTTAATACAAACAACAGTAAAACAAGATATTTTTATTAAAAAAGGAAGATGAACTATTCATATATCTGTTTCAAACAAAAAAACCTTCAACAATATTAGCAGATAAAATATTTATACTTTTACCAATAAGTAATCGTTACGTATCATATCATATATGCTGTCACATATCTGTTTGATCGTCGAGTTACTCATCCATATCTTTTGTTAGTTTTGTTCATGGTCATTGCAAAGACACATGTGTAAAATAAGAAACAATGTCGCTTAAATGAATATGTACAATAATATTTAAAAAATATTCTATCTAGCAGAATGATCTCAACGTTTACAATTAATTATAATGCATGCATAATACATTTCTTTACTAAATACCCTCATCATATTATTCTCTAGTAAACATTTATACAAATGAATCACAAGCGATACTTAACAAATGTCCTGACTTTTGTATAGTAATATTTATTGTGAAATATATGGCCTCACATTACAAAAGCACATACGGCATGCCTGTATACACAATAAGCACTTGCAAAACTAATCGTTTTTTTCTACTATTATTGTCACATATTTCTTCCAACTGACTGAACATAAGTGTCCACATCAACAATCAGTTTTGGATTCATGTCATTTGGATCATGTTGTTAGAAAAGATTTGATTAACAATTTCAATAAATCTTGAAAATGAAGAAATTGATATTTGGTGAGATTTACTTGTTATTACTTAGACTAATTTTATTGAATTTCAGATAGAAATAACTATAGATTAAATGATTGCTATTCATACATGGCAAGAACAGCATATGACTTATAGTTTTGATCAGAGTAATGACATTTTTATATTCATAGTTGTTTTATATTTTGAAAAACAAAAAGTCTAACGATTGTCTGAAACTTCTTTGTATCGATACATACTTCAGAACATATGGTATAGCTTGGTAATATTTCCTTTTGATTTACTTTTATTCATTCATGTTGATGATGAATATGGATCCAATATCATTCGAATTCGACTATTTCATTGAAAGTTAACATTTGAAAAACCAATAATAAGAATATTCGATTTCATAGAATCGTTTTTCATGATCCTAAAGTTATGTTTCATTTATCCATTTTTTCGTGAATTTTTGTTCTAACTAACGGTAATTATGGGTCTATGTTTTACGTAGGTATAACTTATGATGCTATTCCACGATACGATGGAAAACAAATAATATTTTTGTTGAGTGGATAACTCTATGGTAGCAGAATCAAATGTCTATTTCTCATCAGCTATAACTTTATTTTAATTTATTTAGAAATATCTATCATCTGTGTATGAACTTTTCCACTTATGTATTAATATTTTCAATTGAATTTCATAATATTAAACAGACAAAAATTAAACATTGACATGTTCGACAAAAGTAAATATAGAAAAAATCAAGTGAATAAATATACAATGATAGCTTTAGTCTTTTCTAAATTTGATAGTCATCAAATGAAATTGTCATTTGAAAGACAAAACCTCGCATTTAACTATTGAATTAATTTTTTTATAAGTAGTAAATACATGTCGAACTCACGAACAGGTGAATAGTTTTCGAAAAAAAATGATTTATTGCTGTAACGCATCGATGTAGTTTTTGTATTCACATCTTCATCGACTTGAATGAGTCATAATTATCTGCGTTGGGCAAAATAGCAGACTCATATATTTTTAAAGAATATATTGAAGATAAAAAATAGTTTTCACAGTTTAAACTTATTAGTAATTAGGAAATTCGTTCTTCAGCAAGAGAAAAATAAGTTACATATCTATAAATAAGCAATTTTAACCAAAACGTGTTGAAAACAGTTGATAGAAAAACAATGAAAACTACAATGAAATCAGTTGAGATTTTCATTGTTCAATAATGGTAGTTAGATAATTCTAGTAGCTATTGTTAAGTTTGTTTTAAATGACATACTAATTTACTGAATATGCATTTATTAAACAGTAAATGGTCTTTTGAAAGAGAGAAACATTTTCTTAGGTCTTTGATTTCGTTATCAAAATATTCATTCGATTAATATTTAGCTGAGTATTGAGTACTCGAAAATGGAAAACGTTCATGAATTTCTTTTAAATGTATAATTAAAATTGTTTTCAAAAGTATCTCTATGAATATATGAGTCGACTGACAAGGATAGAGATACAAGCAAAATGAAGTGGATGTGGTGAAACAAAGATTTCAAACAATGAGAACACTCATACCCCAAGTTTTCTTGTTATATTTATGGAAAACCGAGCATTTATGTAAGGTAAAGAAGAAAGAAAAAATTTCGAACTTTTTTAATTTTAAACAGAAAATGCATTTAGGATAATCTGGATTCTTTCTATATAAAATGATGCTAAAAACAATACACTATTATTCTATAATACTGGATCATTCTTCAATTAATATCTGAATCATAATAAACTTTCGATAAGACGTGTTTGTTATAATATGTGATGCTAATATTAGATTAAGTTTTGTTTTCGACGTGTAGCTTGTTCTTAACAAAAAGTGATCTGTACAGAACTGAAAAAATTCAGAAATAAGTTTATCAAATTTTTAGAAAATTCTCTAAGAGTTTTTACTATGTCAGTTTTTAGTTATTCGACTTTATCAAACAAAATCTAAACGATTAAAAAAAAATCAGAATTGTTGCATCGTGTTGTATCCAACTTTATAAACTTATTTTGTATACTCTAATACATATAGATGGCTCGGTATTGTTGAGTGTTATTTTTGTACTATTAGATTATACAGAGAGAAAGTTTCTTAAAGCGTTTTATGATGAATTAAAATATCTCCAGCAATTCTTTTGGGTATTGTCCTAAGTATACAATATAGATAAATCACAAAGAATTATTATGTAAAACAAGAACGATCAGAAAAAATGTATAAAAATCAAAGAATAATTCTTATTCTCCTTATTTATTTTCCAATTATGTTCAGTATGTTCTCATACTCAATTGAATTCTGATGAAAAGTTTATCTTTTTCTAATGATTCTTTAATATAAATTTTTTCAGATTTTTGACTTTTTTTTATTATTTATCAATCTTAGAACGATATTTCATAATGATAAAGAAAATATTAGATCCAACAACAAAGATTCAACAAATTTTTGGTTTGATGATATTTCTTTTAATTCTTTTCTATATGTTTCTAAATGATTTAAAATTGAAATCGATTTATGAAAACTTTTCTGAAAGTAACTCAATATTAATAAGATCCAAAATTAAATTACTTTTATTATACGAAAATGAAATGTCTCGTATGGAAGAAGATTTATTTCAACCAATATTTCATAATCATTATTTGACATTAAAATTAAATTTAACATCAATGGGAAAAAATTATTTGAATGATTTTAAAAATGATTCCAGCGAGAAAATTGATTGTCTTAAAATAACCTGTTTAAAAAGATCGAAAAATAAAAAAGATTTTCATCCAATCTGTCATATTCGTTTGAATTTTCGTATAAAAATATTCAATTTAAAAGAAGTACCTTTGACTCTTTTATCAAAAAATTCAAGTTGTTTATTATCATTAACAACTGCATCTGATATTATATCTCTCGATATTAATGAAATCTTCTTAGTTGACGATAAATTTCGTTTTACTTATAAATGGTCAAATTTTATAGAAGAAAAATTAATGTCTTGGTCTCAATGGCCTTTAACAATTACATGTTTAATTTCACGTTTTAAAAATTTACCTAAAAACGAAAATCAATCTTCAGAATTACATTTTGACTCTTTTCAATGTTTTTCTGTAGATACTTTGGTTCATTCAACTTCGCAAGAATTATTTATTAGAGAACAAGAAGCTGTTTCGTACTGGCTTGATTTACAAAATAAAGAGTCAATTGATAAAAGATTTTTCGATAAAAATAATAATTCAGTAAAAACAAGACGTTTAGCTCCATTTGAACTAGCAAAAAATACTCGAGTGTGTTCACAAAAATTTCAAAATTGGATTTTAAATTATCAACAATGGCATGAAAAGATTAGTTTGGCTATTAGTAATCGATCAATGACATTTGAAGAACAATTTCAACGTATACTTGAACTTAATGTTCGTTTTTTAATCTATGAAAAACATCCAACAGGTATTGCTGATCAATTAACGCATTTAATATCAACTTATTTCGTAGCTTTATTAACAAATCGATTATTTATATTTGATACAAATTGGCCAGAATTTATAAATACTATGCAATCAAGTTTAAATTATCAACCAGAATTTATTATTCCTTGGTATTCTCAATTTGATTTGATTAAGAAAAATTTATCTTTGACTATTCAAAATAATTTAACAATAGGAGCACATTGGTTTTCTCTTGATCGATATAATAGAGATTTTAATTATGAAGACTATTTGCGTCAACGTATTGCTATATTAAAAGGTCATACAGGAGGTGTTATACATACAATTACATCTAATTTAAGTATTTATAGAAAATTTTTAACTATTGATCTTGAAATGAATTCAGAAAATATTTTTGGATGTCTTTATCATTCTCTGTTTACTTATCGTTTATCTTCATTGATTAAAAGTATACCATTAATTTCTTCAAATAATCAATTAGGTCATTCATCTCAACAAATTTTACAAATACTTTTATCACCGAGATTTTTTTCGATTGGAATTCAAATTCGTGCTGGAGATCAAACATTGACTCGAGCAAATTCTGTTTTTGATGAAGAAATAATTAAAAGATTTGAAAACTATTTTATATGTTCTCAACAAATAATTAACACAAATAAAAAATTATTTCGTGACACTAATCAAATTCCAATTATTTTTTTGTTATCCGATAGTGTTCAAATACGTCAAGCTGCTTTAAAACGTTGGAAATTCTCATTAGAATGTTTTCAATCAGTTGAAAATCAATGTCAATCGAATAATAATGATTCAAAGATCTTATCACATTCTGACCCAGTTTTCCATATAGCCATGACATCTAATCAAAAATTAGCTTTTCAATTAGGAATTTTTGATCAGTTTCTTTTTAGTTTATGTGAACAACATATAATTACTCTAAAAAGTGGATTTGGTCGCATTCCAGCTTTTGCATCTTTAAAATTACGGAATATTTATTCATTGGAATCTAAACAAGAACCTTTTTGTGAAAATCAAAGTGTACCACTCGCCATTTCAGGTCATCATTGGTCGGGAATTTGATTATTCGTTTATATAACTTTGCAATTAACGACTAGTTAAATATTGGCAATAAAGAACCTATGAGAAAAATAATCTCAGATATGAAGAATAAACAAAAATATCTTACAAGTGGTCAATCTATTTTTTATTTTCTTATAAAAATTTTTCTTCGAATTGTTATAACATCCAGTTAACAAGTAGATCATTTTCAAACTACAAAATTCATGAAGAAATCATAATTAATTAAGAACTAATAAAAACGATATTTGACAAAAATTGTTTTTCTATCGATCTACAATCGATACGTTTCGATGATGTGTCTTTATCTAATGTTGTTAAGAATCATTCTTTCATTTATGCATATTTATCACAAGAAATTTTTTTTTCTATAGTTTTCAGCAAAACCGTCAATATTCTTATTCAAGAAAGATTATTTTCAGATAAAGTTCAACTCAAAAAGTTTTCTTAATTATACAGACGAAACTAGCACCAGATTCGAATAAAAATTGACTCTCATACTCATCTAGCCACCTGTTTCAGAGTTCCTACTCTTATTCCAAGTATCACTCGACAAGCTCTGTTCAACAGTATAATTAGTTTTTCCATAGCAAAGATGTGAAATCGTAGGAAAAATTTCGATTTTTGAACTTTTACTCTAATTTTCCAGTTTTCAGTGTTTGACAAACACCTAGTAATAACTCATTACTTTGCGTACGCAGCTAGTGTTTATGAGTGAATTGCAACTTTATTTTACCGATCTGTGAAAAAAATGGACGAAAAAAATTTTCGATTTTGTAAGCGGTGATAAGTGTATTCTATGGAGAGGAAAATATGAATGAATTTTTCCGTTATTGATAGCTTCTTAAATATGAAGCCAAGTAGTATATAATCTATTTACTCTGGCTTTAGTTATGAGACAGTTATGCATACAATGACCTCGTATAACAAATGGACACTATTTTTTTTCTTTTTTCAAAAACCATTAGTTTTCTGATCCTGATGTTTTGAATGGTAGTTAACCAAAATAAGTGGATGAAATGATGTGACAACTGAATTTTCAAGTTTTATGCTATATTTTTTCTTAATAAGAACTAATACGACTTTCTCATCTTCTTTTGATGATTTTATCTCTCATCTATTGGCTTTCGTTCAACATTATCCTGATTAATTTTAGTCGGTCTTTTTAATCTAAAAGCCATTTTCGATTTCGTGTAACAGAAAATCGAGAAATGAGTGTAGCCTGATGTTGAGAAAAAAGTGTGATAGTAATTTTAATGAAAGAGCCGATTAGTCTCATATTCAAAAAGCACAGACTGGTTACAATAAATTCACCAACTTCCTCAACTCAAATGACAAAAAAGCAAATCGATTAGATAGCATTTTTTTTAATCAATACACTACAATAAAGATTGATTCTTTTAAACTGCTGCGTCTTCTATCTTGCGACTAGTCTGAGATAAGTTCATGCATGGTTTTTTTGTGTAGTAGTGAGAACTTCTTGGAGAATCCTAACATGAAAAATCATAAGGATTGATTAAGAGGAACTGAAGATGTTGAAGTTCTATATCTAAAAGTTTAACGGTACAATAAAGTTGCAATTCACTCATATATGAATTTATTCAATTTCACGAGTTACTTAATAGAGAACAGAAAACTATTTGATCTTGGCTTGATTTACAAAATAAAGTGTCCATTGATAAAAAAAAAACTCTGTGATAACAACGACTAATTAAGTGAAAAAAAGATATCCAGTTCACTTTGAAATAGCAAAAAAAAAATAACCAACTGTATGTCTACAGAAATTTTCAAAGTGGATTTCAAATTATCAAAAACAGTAGAATTTTTTAAAACTGTGACAAACATACATCAGGTACGACTGTTTGAATAATTCATTTAATTTCAACTCATTTTTTTTATCTATATTTGGTTTTCTAAATACGATGCGTGTTATTTTGATCAGATTGTAATAAAGATTACGATTATGAGAAATGTTTTCGTGAATATATATTCTTATATTTAGAGATTCATGCAGGCTGCATTATACATAAAATTAAATCATCATTTCAATTGATTGAAAGAGTTCTTCATCTGGAATTGAAATTCGTGCTGAACATAAAACAATAATTCAAACAGTTCTTAAGAAACTATTTCATCGGAAAAAAATCAGGTTCCAATTATTTTTCTTAAAAATAAATGTCAATCAAATAGTTATGATTTGTATATTTTATCAAGTTTCCATTTGATTTTACACGAATCATATACAAATTGAGGGTGTGGGTGTGGATGTGACTGTCAGTGCGAGGTGTGGGTCTTCTCTCTATCCACGCATTCATACCCACACCCACCCCCACACCCTTGTCCAATTTCCACCACAATTGAGATGTAACTGATTTATTACAGTTCCAAATGCTTCGTATATTGTCGAAATTCTGGTGGAAATTCGAAATGTCGTCAAAATTCCAGAGATCCGATAATAGATAAAATTTCGTTTGTGAGGTCAACAACAATCTTTAATAGAAGTATTTGTTTAGATTGTTCGTGTGGAAAAAAATTGAATAAAGTTCTACTAGTAACTAGAAGTGGACCATTTGACTTAATAAATTAACCGAATTAAGTCCAATTAAAAAAATTGGTCCACTCCTACTACTAACCGAAAAACCAGCCCATTTGATTGAACCGGAGTAATGACATTTGAATTTTTTATCGTAGCGCTATTTATAGGACATCCTGTAAACCATCCGACACATTAGAAGACCCCCCACCCCTATAGTCGAGATGACCCTCTCTTGAATCAACAACCCAAAGGATAGATTAGAGGACCTGCTCACCTGCTTCTAAGGAGATCGTCAGAGGAGATGGGTGGGTCTTCTCATCTATCCTTCGCTTCGTTGATTCAAGGGAGGGTCATCTCTACTACAGGGGTGGGGGGCCTTCTAATGTGTCCGGGGGTTTATGTGTTCTGTCTTGCTACTTTTTCTCTGCTTCAGCTGTTCAGCGGTTATAGTTGAATTACCGCCAAACAACACCATCTACATTTGTCGTCAATCACGATTCTCATCGGTTGGATTCCATATGCCTTTATAATGGCGTCCATACTTTCCCTTAACTCGGGGAGCTCTCTTATTTGGTGCTCACATCCTTCGTTTCGTTCTCTATCCTTTCGTTCGTCTGCACGGGCAAACATGATGAAAAAGCAATAAAATATCACTGTCGACCACGTGGCTGCACTTCTCATATACATATATATATACCAATACTTGCGCATCACTTGTTCTCCTTTTTTCTATCCTTGTCTCATAGACGCACAAACATCAATGCCGACATACAAGTTGCATTATTTCAATATCCGAGGCCGCGCTGAAGTGTCTCGACTAATTTTTGCTGCTGCTGGGCAAAAGTTTGAAGATATTCGCTACGAAGGCAGTGAATGGCTATCACACAAGTCCGAAATGCCTTTGGGTGAGATGCCTGTTCTCGAGATCGATGGAGTTAAATTGCCGCAATCATTGTCGATTGCTCGTTTTCTTGCCAAACAATTTAATCTCGCAGGCAAAGACAATTTCGAACAGGCCAAAGTTGATGCCGTCGTTGATACAGCTGTTGAGGCAATAACTAAATTTCGACTGATTCATCGAGAAGTTAATGAAGCCAAGAAAGAAGCAGATATGGACACGTTTCTTTCCGATGAACTACCAAAACATTTGCAAAATCTTGAAGTTCTGAAAAAGGCATACAGCGATGGTGGCCCATTCTTTGTTGGAAATAATCTGACATGGTGCGATCTGTTAGTCTACGATATATTCGAAACTATTCTTCATATCGATAGCACTATCCTCGTTCAACATCCATGGTTACAACACAATCGTCAAGAAGTCGAGAAACAACCGAAAATTGCCGCCTATCTCAAGAGTCGACCGCAATCAGAATTATGAAACGTTAAAAGCCACGAACAAGTAGAATAATACCCTAGTGTTCCTTTTTTTTGCTGGTATTGTCATCACGCTTTTAGAATATGTCTGTGATAGATTGCTGGGTGCAGGTTGAATAAATTCCCTTTTTTTCTTCCATCTTCCATCTTGATAATTTAGGGAGACGAAAAAACAGCGCCATGTCAATCTGCAGACTATCATAGTAAATTGATTGTAGAAGCGCCAAAAAAAACTTTGACGAAACATTGTCATCTACCTCAAGAATTGACTGCAAGTGCTCATTCATCATTGAACACAACCTCGCAATTTACTTTTTTTTACTGTTGAATGTGTTAAGATAGTATCTGGTGTTCACAAGTACGACTCGCCATTTTTTAAATGAATATTCTAGAGAAATCTTTGTTTTTATTATATGTATGTTCGTATGAAGAGGAAAAAGAGGTTTTTTTTCTCGTCCTTGTTCTCTGGACTGGTAAAAAAAAGAATGAGAAAAAAAAATCTCTCACAAAACTACGATACGCACACAAAAGATAATATGTCGACGTATAAGCTGTACTATTTTAACACACGTGGTCGTGCTGAATGGGAATCACACATGTTCGAAATGCCTATCGATAAGTTCTTTGTTCTTGATGTTGATGGTGGGATGTGAATGTGAGTGTAGTTATGGATGAAGTGAGAGATCAATATCCGTAACCCACACTCTCCACAATGGAAATATTTGACATTTGCTCGACTTCCACTGACGTTCATTCATTGATTTGTCAATTTCTATTGACCACCAAGACAAATATAATGTTGAACAGCATGATCGTTTTTTTTGTATATCAAAAATTGTTTTTCATGTCGATTGTTATTGATAAAATCGTTTGTTCAACAATAATAGGAGATCTGAACAGTAAACAATGCACTTTTAACTATCTGACAACTCGAACAAATGTGATTGAGATCAGAATCGCAAAGGATCTGTGCAGGACTTCAATACATTTTAAGGTCAAACGATACGAATACCCACTGAGAACAGACTTAACGTCAAATTCACGCTCTTCACGTCGTCTCATTCTGCATGGGAGCATTCATCCAACTTTTCTCTCGCGTTGTGTAATATCAAGTCAAACATGTTTAGAACATCATCAACATAATGTTTCGACTACTGTTCTAACTTTTTTATATTAGCTTTGGTTTTCCAGGAATCAAGGAAAAGAAGACATTTTCTATCAACTAAAGGACGTAGAACTTCATTTCAAAAATGTGATGTTTTACGTCGCTGCTTTTTCTACATTTTAAAGCTTGTAATACAACATTTGGCGGTACAATTAAATCTTTTTGCACTCTTTCACTAAATACATTTTCTTTTTCTTGAAGAATAAGTAAGAATTTTTCTAATCAACGACCATCAGCTGCTAACACAGATTGTATTGTATAAGAGTGCATTAACTTGTGATTCTTTTTAACAGGCACTTCTGTTGTTTTTTCACCAGTAAAAGAAAGGGCCCTTGGTGAGACATATTCTTGTTGGAATGAACAGTGATCACAGTTTTAAATTTCATGAGAAAAATACTTTGAGATTAAAGTTCTTTTACGTTCGATCCAATTTTGAGCATCTAAAATATATATATATATATATATTATATGAAGACATATTATTTAAAGACAAAATAAAAGTTTAATTACCATTTAAACTGCAGACTTTTCTATTTGATTTAGGTCGAGTAATAATTTTGTTATATCTTCTTGATGGTATCGTCTTCTCTTTTAAAAGTATTGATAAATGATTTGCTTGCCTTGAATGTATCTCAATTTAATTCTTTAGCTTTGGGTCAGGGTGAGGGTGACGGGCTACATGCGGATGGGGGAGTGATTGTACTAAATGAGGAGTGTGGACGAGTGTACGGGGTAGACAGGTGAGAGGTGGAGTGGGATCAGAGGGTTTCGAATATGTGAAAACAAGGGAATATTTTAAAGAGTCGAACAGTGGAATAGTGGAAAATTTGAATAGATGTTTTCGAGTCGAACCGACTTTTCGAGTCCTAGACTGCTGCTTGTTTTAGTTCTTCTTTTTTCTTTATTGGATATAAGGATTCTCCGCATTCATATTTATGATTGCTTGAAAAATTAATATTTATCACTTTAGTATGAGTATAATTCTATAGTCATAAAGAAATATAAAAAAATCAACAGAATGTCGGAATGTGAATGGCAAGTTAATATTACTGTTTCTATATTATTTGTTAATCTTTGACATTCAAGTAACGTTGATTATCAAGAAGAA